AGACCAACGAGGTCGGCCGCAGCAGCAGAGGCAACAGAGGGCAAAAGGGGGGAGGGGGAACACCCCTCAAAGACGGGGGTGCGAGGGTCACCACGAGAGGCTCCTAGAGCGACTATACTCTTCTCTGCTGCTAGGAGGGCCTTCTCGAGGAGGTCAACGGTAAGAGTGGTGGGGCAGACTGAGAGGAAGTGGTCCCTGACTACGCGAAGGGAGTCAGGGAGCCGGGTGACTATGTAGTAGAGGGTGATGTACATAGGGGGGGGGTTCTTGGCGCAGAACTCAGCAGGAAGCGCAGCGCGGTAGCGAGTGTCACTAGTGCGGAGGTGCGTAATGAGGTCAGCGACTGTGGGAAAGGCAGCAAGGTCAGGGAAGAGGTACGGTAGCATGAGGCGGCTCAGTGCAGCAGTGGCAGGGGAGGAGTAGCGCGCAACTACAGCGTCGTACAAGGTGTGAGCACTCTTGTACTGGCTAAAGTGCGCACGCTCAGAGGTAGGCAGGTGGCGACGCACAGCTAGACGTGCAGCAGCATCGCGTGTGGCCCACTGTGAGCGAACAGTGGCGTCGGCATCAGCAGCAGGGGCAGGAGAGGCACCAGAGGTGAGGTCAAAGAGGGAGAGACCGTCTGCCCTATCGCACTGTAAGAAAAGCTGCAGGTCATCTATCCAGACGTCAAAGTCAATGGCCCGACCCTCAGCGTCAAAGGCGAGGACACTAGGGGTAGCCATGACAGCAGTAGACTAGCAGTGCGAACAGTAGGGTAAGGGCAGTGCAGTGATAGAGGCGCTGCTCTTACCGGACAGGGCGGCTCGGGCGGCTCGGCGGCTCGGCAGGACGGCGGGTCGGCGATGTCAGAACTTATATTTGTAACTGCCTGTAGCTGTAGTTAGTGTAGTTATTATAAACTTTGTTTGGTGGTGCACCTTATTTGTTTCCTTTGCTATATGTTCTTCGAAACCTATAGTGAAACCATCCTTTCCAACTTTCTCGACTCTCACCCTAGGCACAAACTACTCGACATCCTAGTTGGGCCTAGGCTCCTAAGCCTAGGCCCTAGTTAAACTTGATCATTCCACGTTTCAGTTTTTATCATGCTATCAGAGCGAGTTACGTCCTGGCCTGTGGGCCCGCCTCATGCTTCCGCTGCTACGTTTTTCCGGTCGCGCGCCTAGGGCGCGTGGCGATTTTCTATTGTCCCGCCCCCGGTTGGCGAGTGACTCCTACTCTGCCCGTCGCGCGCCCCGTGGCACGCGACGGTGCCCTAAACCTGCCCGTCGTGCGCCCCGTGGCACGCGACGGTGCCCTGCTCGTCGTGCGCCCCGAGGCACACGACGGTGCCCTTACCTTAAACTTACCTGTCGTGCGCCCCGTGGCACGCGACGCTCCTCTCCGCACCTGCTCTCACTGCAGCCGCCCCTGACCTACCTGCGCCGACACATTGTAGCCGCTCTGCGGCTTTCTTCCCGCCCACCCCCTCCTCCTTTGTCTCCCTGCAGCCGTGGGGGGGAGGGTATGGGGGTGGCGGGTGTTGGAGCGTTGGGTCGTATCCTTCCCTTCCCCTCCTCCTCCTTTCGTTCCCACTGCTGCAGCTGCCGCTGGGGGGGAGGGTGTGAGGGTGTGGGGGAGACGGGGGAGTGGCACCGGGGTGGCGGGTGTGAGGCAACCAGCAGCCGTCCCTCCACCTCTCCTCTCTTCCCCCCCCCTCTCTGCTGCTCCTGCAGCAGTGTGGGGGAAGGGAAGGAGGAGGGTGAGGAGATGGAGGGGGTGACCAGCTAGTGTTAGCCCGCCTGCAGTACCTGCTGTTGCTTGTTTATTATTTTGCATGTGTACCCGTGCAGGTTGTATTCTGCACAAACTCCTGATGCAGGCAGTTATGGGGGAGTGTCAGAACTTATATTTGTAACTGCCTGTAGCTGTAGTTAGTGTAGTTATTATAAACTTTGTTTGGTGGTGCACCTTATTTGTTTCCTTTGCTATATGTTCTTCGAAACCTATAGTGAAACCATCCGTTCCAACTTTCTCGACTCTCACCCTAGGCACAAACTACTCGACATCCTAGTTGGGCCTAGGCTCCTAAGCCTAGGCCCTAGTTAAACTTGATCATTCCACGTTTCAGTTTTTATCAGGCGACACGGCGGCTCGGGCGGCTCGGCGGCTCGGGCGGCTCGGGCGACTCGGCGGCTCGGGCGGCTCGGCAACTCGGCGGCCCGGGCGGTTCGGCGGTCGGCTGCTGGGCGGCTCGGCGGCTCGGCGGCTCGGCTGCTCGGCTGCAGGACGGCTCGGCGGCTCGGGTGCTCGGCTGCTGGGCGGCTCCGCAGCTGGTGTGGTTGGTGACGATCGCGGCAGCAGTCGCAGAAGCTGTGGCGACTGCTGCTGCAGAGACGGCTGCGGCTGCTGCCTCAGGGACGGCGGCTGCCGGCCGCTAGGGGCCGCGAAGAGCGGCGGAGAGGCCGTGAAGGGCGCCACGAGGGGCCGTCGAGGGCGGCGACAGGCCGTGAGGAGGCCGCGGAAGGCGGCTCGAGGGGCCGCGAGGGGGCCGTAAGGGGCCGACTGGCGACGGGAGGGGCCGAAGGGGCCGTGGGGGCGGCGCGACGGGCGCGACGGGCCGTAAGGGCGGCGCGACGGGCCGTAAGGGTGGCACGAGGGGCCGTGAGGGCGGCGCGACGGGCGCGACGGGCCGTAAGGGCGGCGCGACGGGCCGTAAGGGCGGCGCGACGAGCCGTAAGGGCGGCGCTAGGGAGCTGTGAGAGGGCCGCTAAGGGCGACGCGACGGGGCCGTGAGGGGCCTAGCGAGGGCGCGACGGTAGGGAGAGCACACAGGGCGCGACTCGGGCCGGAGCGAAGCGCGCTCCGGGCAGGAAAAAAAATTTCGTGGTGGTGGGCCCTAGGAATCGTTCCCACTAGGGAACCTGCTCGATACCATGAGAAGAAACGAGGAATAATGAATGACTAAGGGAAAGTTGGGTACAAATGTGAACCCTAGAAAACTGTACCCCATATGTGCTACCCCACTATAGCCTACAGTAGCTATGTCATATAAATCTGACAATTTTACTCAAATCAGAGTTTTTCTAGTGAATTCGCTACTAACGCGTCATGAGCAATCGTCGCTGGCGTGCCTGGCAAAGTATTCCCTGGCCTGCCTGACGAAATTGCCACAGGCGCGCACGTGTTAGCAACTTTTCAGCACATGATGGCAGGGATTTTCGCCAGGGTGGCAGATTCTCGGTGAATTTCGGCGCGAACTGTTTTGTGGTAGTCTCGATTGAAATCGCAAGGCTGAGATCTACATTTCTGCGTTTTAAAATCATAATTATCTAAGTGTCATTTATTTCCCCCATGGGGTTATAAAAAAATCCACATTATAAGCCCACCCACCATTTTTCCAGGTTTTTTTATACCCCCACCCGGGAGTATATCCGGGGCATGACGACATATATATATAATATATATATGTAATATATATATAATATATATATACATATAATATTGTTAAGTCTGCTAGGCTGTACTGAGGTGCATAATATAGGGTATAGGGTTTCTCTCGACATTTGTACTTGTACCTTCTCCCCACTAATCAATGTCATCATTTCTCCTAATTCATATACGTATGTTTGATAGCTCATAGATATTGATATTCTAAGAGATGTTCTTTATATTCTTCATGCAAAAGCAACCAAAATAAAGGAAACAGTAGAAGTGTGTGAAGGAGGACATTGTTAAGCGAAATTTGTGAATGTCTGGACACCTGTTGTATAAAGCCAATACTAAAAACCCTAGTCACGCACATAATGTTCTCGTAATAAACCACAATATTAACAATCATAGAACCGGGAGCTGTGAGTGTACGGTTAAGGCATCTTTTAGAGAGTACGAGGTGAAGATTGACCCGAGGGTCATAGATTGACTAGAGAACACAAGCGGTTTTTGTCTTTTTGCAGAACCTCTCCGTTGTACGGCCAGCTCTTTGTGTCTGGGCTGACTCGAGGAAAACAGGCTGGAACGATGGCATAGGAGAGTCAATTACTGTAGACAGGAGTACCACCACACCACCACCATACGAAAAGGTGTTCCGCTCTGACTACCTTGACTAATGGACAAGCTCAAGTCAATTGTCCAGAAGCAGCCAGCTTCCATCCAGGCCCTAGCTAGCCTGGGAAACTACCCTGGGAAACTAGTGTGGTCAAGGAATCTAGGGTTACTCTTGAACTCCCCCACCACCATCCCTGAAGTGTGGGGAAAGCAACGAGGGCAGGCTGGCGCTGAGGAACGACATTCCCAAGACAGCCAATAATCACGAAGCGACACGCCGCCCCCTGGGCGCTTTCCATGCCTCTGCAAAAATTTCACACTTCAGCCCAGCCTCATCAGCTTTTGGGTGGGGAGCCAGAGAGTGAAGTGAGCAGGCATCCAGCAAGCTACTCAACCATTCCGCAGCCATCTAAAACTCGCATAACTTTCGCCATTATTGGTGCTGACGCGGATCCTCCCTTCACAGGGCTCGACTCCTCCGCCAACTGCACTGCAGCGGGCCCTCCCCCCAACCCATCCTACCCGCCCCCCCTTCCCCTTCCTCCCCCGCCATCTGACCTGACAATGACATGACAACGCGTCTCGATCGCCCCCGTCGCCTCGCCTCGCCTCGCCTCCCTCCCCCGCCGCCCTCCTCACCTCCCCCCTTCCTCCTCACCTCACCTTACCTCACCTTCCCCAGAACGACGTTCTCGTTTCAAGGCTCAACCGACCAGTTCTCCATCCAACCTTGGGCAATCCCGAGGGTTCGTTCGTTCCATTCCATCATTCGCAGCAGCTCATCTGAACTTGAATAATATGGAGCAAGATGGTGGCTGTGTTGCCTCGGTACCTAGGTGGTAGAGTCCCCATGGACTAAGATTCGACGGATTTGCCTTTAGCTTACTCGATCAGGAGTAGCGCACAGGGTTGTGACATTAGAACCGAGTAATTTAACTTTATTTCGAGATTCTCGACCCCCGAAGTTGAGGATGGAGGATTGGAGCAACAACGCGTGGCTGCTGGAAGCCGAAGACGGCGGATTCCACGTCGACGATTGCGTTTACGAAGAGGACGAAATCGGTTACGTCGTTGACGACGACGATTCCCTTCCCTGGGAGCAGCATGTGCGTAGTAAGAGGCTTATGAGGCGCCTCTGAAGGCAGCACGTGCGTAACGGCCTCTCTTGTACAACTCAGCAGGGTGCTGAGACGTGTTCCAGATTCTACGCTCCTGGAAGGCTTTCAACTAGGTCATATGTTGAATGGCAGGATTCTTGAAGGATCTTGTCCGTCGCGTAGGAGCGTGGCTTCATTGGAAGTTCGAGATAGCTCCGGTGGCGTTGTTCATATTCCGCATGCTAGTTCCGGTGACTTTTTTCATGTTGGCTTAAACTTCGTAGAGTGGTCAACGGATCCGACACCATCGTGCTTCTGGTTAGACCGCGCTCTTATGTTGCTCGAATTCCTTTCCTCTCCTCTCATCCGCCCGCCTTCCCGTTCCGTCTCCTTGCCGAGGGAACGTCGACGTGCCCAGTCCGTGCGAGCGACTCGGTGTGGAGATCCTGCGACCCATCTCCCACCCGTTTCGCGCCAGCTGTCGCATCGTCTCCTGCCACTCCGTTTCCGCTGTTCCTTCCTACCCGCTCTTCCCATTTCTTCCGCGCTCTCTTCCCAATCGCTTCCGCTGTCAGGTGGAGCGAGTTCACACGGCAACGGGCGTGGTGCAGGTGACGGTGCGCGGCGATCCCGGCAACCCACCGCCAGTCACTCTGTCTTCATGTCCCTGTTCCCTCCTATCCTACTCTTTCTCACTCCACCTCCCGCTGTCAGGTCGAACGGGTCCACAAGGCAACAGGCGTCGTGCAGAGAATCGCGCGAAGAACCTTCCAGTCACCCTCTCTCCATGTCCTTCCCGCCTCCCACCTGCGCGACTCTGTCTCACTCCACCTCCCGCTGTCAGGTCGAGCGAGTGCAGACGGCAACGGGCGTGGTGCAGGTGACGGTGTGCGGGGATCGCTGCAACCCGCCGCTGATCACCTATCACGACGTCGGGCTCAATCGTGAGTCTCTATGATAACTTATCACGACAAAATCGTGAGCTCCTCCCTCCCTTCTTGCTACCCCACATCCGCGCGTCGGATTACACGTGTTTCCAAGGCCTCCGCGGTAACCCCCCATCTCACTCTCCCTTCCTCGCTCTCCCCCATCCCATCCTCCGCTTGTCGAATTCCACGTGCTTCCAAGCATGCTCTGCGCGGACACCTCCGCGCTGCTTAATACCCCCCGTCTCACTCTCTCCTCCGCGCTATCCCTCATCCCACCCTCCGCGCGTCAGACTCCACGTGCTTCCAAGGCCTCATGCTCTGCGCGGACACCTCCGCGCTGCTTCTACGAAACTTCTGCATATTCCACGTCGACGCGCCGGGTCACGAGGTGAGCACGGCCGTCCTGGGCTGTCTTCAAGGGAGCCGTCTTCAAGGGAGCCGTTAGGTTTCCGCACAGGTTGCTTCTGAGGACGAGGGGCCGTCTTCAAGGGAGCCGTTAGGTTTCCGCACAGGTTGCTTCTGAGGACGAGGGAAACGTTTTTTGACACGTCTCGAAAATATTTCTGCACAGGCTGTTTTTGAGGTCGGGGAAAACGACGCTCGTAAGAAAAATTGTGTCGGAAACCGCTCTTTCTGTCCCCAATAGCTTCCCCTCTCCCTTCGTGTGCGCCGCGCGCAGGAGGATATGCCGCGCGCAGGAGGATATGGAGGAGATCTCCTCGTCGCACCCGCTGCTGTGCGCGGCCATATTGGCGCGCCTCATTGTGTACCTCAACCTTCTCTCCTCTCCCCCACCACCCCCCACCCTTTTCCCCGCCGTGCGCCGCGAGCAGGAGGACGCGGAGGAGATCCCCTCGTCGCGCCCGCTGCTCTCCGCGGACGATCTGGCTGAGCAGGTGGCGGAGGTGGCGCGGCACTTTGCGCTCGCTGACGTCACGCTCATGGGCGTCACTGCGGGCGCCTACGTCCTCACGCTCTTCGCTGTACGCCCTCGCTGCGCGTTTACCTGCCTGCCTGCTGCGTTCCCGCGCCCCCCGCGCTCTCCCCCGCGCCGCTTGCCTGCCTGCTTGCCTGCTTCCCGTTATCCCTTGGTCCCTCCACCTGGTCCTCCACCTTGTCCCTTCCTCTCAATCCTGCCGCTGCACCCGCAGCTATCCCACCCACATCTGCTGCCAGGGCTCATTCTCGTGTCATGCGTCCCCTTCCTCCCCTCACCTTTTCCTTTGCTCCCCCCGCCTTCCCCCCTTTCCTCCTTTCCCCCCGTTTCTCCTGCCGCCGCGCCCGCAGCTATCCCACCGCCATCTGGTGCGCGGACTCATTCTCGTGTCGCCTCTGCTCTCGCCGCCCTCCTGGTCTGAGTGGGCGCACAACAAGGTGAGCCATGGCGCACAACAAGGTGAGCCATGGCGCACAACAAGGTGAGCCATGGCGCACAACAAGGTGAGCCATGGCGCACAACAAGGTGAGCCATGGCGCACAACAAGGTGAGCCATGGCGCACAACAAGGTGAGCCATGGCGCACAACAAGGTGAGCCGTGGCGCGGGCTGACGTGAGACACGTGGCATGCAGCGTGCAGCGTGCAGCGAGTGAGGGGCATGCAAGAAGTTGTGCAGAGTGCAGCACACAATATGGACTACGGCGAAGCATGCAATAAGGTGTACTGTAAGGTGAAGGATATCCGCTTTTAGTGAGAATGCAGGCCGGTCTTTTCCCAACTTCTTGTCTCAAGTCGAATCTCCTTCTCCCTCTCCTCGTTCCCCTGTGTCGACCACGAGAGCAGGTGACCATGAGTGTGCTCTCCTATTACGGCATGACGTCATACATCAAGGACTCGCTCTTCGACCGCTATTTCTGCCCCGTACGTGTCCCTCGCCACTCGCGTCTCTCCTCTTGCCACTCGCCCCTCGCCCCTCGCCCCTCGCCCCTCGCCACTCGCCCCTCGCCACTCGCCCCTCGCCCCTCGCCCCTCGCCACTCGCCCCTCGCCCCTCGCCCCTCGCCCCTCGCCACTCGCCCCTCGCCCCTCGCCCCTCGCCCCTCGCCCCTCGCCCCTCGCCCCTCGCCCCTCGCCCCTCGCCCCTCGCCACTCGGCCAATGTTGCTCATTTCCATGCCCTCTTGGTTTGCTGCCCCACCCTCCCACCCACTCTCGACCACCAATCCCCCTTCTCCCGCCTCACATGCTGCTGCATGGTTCTTACCTCTTTCATGTTCATTCCCCTGCCAACCTGTCTCCCGTATCCTCCTCCTCCTCCTCCTCCTCCTCCTCCTCCTCCTCCTCCTCCTCCTCCTCCTCCTCCTCCTCCTCCTCCTCCTCCTCCTCCTCCTCCTCCTCCTCCTCCCCCTCCCCCTCCTCCCCATCCTCCCCCTCTCCTCCCGCCTCCCCTCTCCCCCTCCTCCCCATCCTCCCCCTCTCCTCCCGCCTCCCCCCTCCCCCGTCTCACCTGCATGTGTCCTGCAGGCCACGTCAGGCTTCCACGGACCGGCGTCAGATGCGCTCATGTCCTTCCGCAGGGTAAGTCCGCGACCAATGTAACTCCGATGGGTTGGGGTGGGGGCGCTTTGCTCTTTAGCAGTTGAGATTGCTGGGCGTGGAAAGGCAGGTGGGCCCCTGCACTGCATCCCATACTGCATTGGGTTGCAGACCATGTACGTTGGGATCACTTCTGGCCGGGCCACCATCAGTGCATGTGCATGTGCACGTGCATCACTGAGATGCAGTGGATCCTGCAGGCCGGGCCTCATTGTTATTCCGTCCCCCTTCCTTCTCGTCGCGTTTATTCCCTTTCGTTTCTCCCGCAGGAGCTGGACTATCACGAGCCGGAGAACCTCATGCGTTATTTCCACGCCATCCACAGGTATGTCCGTGCCTGCCTTCCACCTCACGTGTGAGTCGACTCCAAAGGAACTCATGCGCAACTGCTGCTGTGCCATCGTGAGGTACATCGAGCTCGATGCTTGTACACGCCTTTTTTTTTTTTTTTTTTTTTAGCGCAATCTCAGTGTCCCGTGATTGGTTGCAAAGGAAGTGCACTGCACTTCCATCCACTCGATTCACTTCCTTTCTCTGTTTATCAAAGCGTGCAGACGGCTCTGTTCCCTCTCGCCCACCAGCAGGTCGTTGCCTCTTCTCACTCGCCACTCCCCTTCCCCTCTCGCTTCCGCTCCCCCATATCCTCCAGGCGCAAGAACCTGCTCCCTGCACTGGCGGCGCTGCAGGTGCCAGTGCTGCTGGCCGTGGGTGACTCGTCCCCTTTTAACCCCCTCGCTCGCTCCGCCTTCCACCACCTCCACGCCAAGGCTCCTCTGTTTTCTCCTGGCGCCTCTTCTTGCTCCTCAACCGCATCTCTCACGCTCTCCACCTCTTCCTCGCCCTCTCGCCCTCACTCTCGCTCTGACTCTCACTCTGACTTTTTATCTGAGGAGGCAGAAAGGGGAGTGGAGGATAGGGAAGAGGAGGGTGAGAGGGATGCGAGAGGCACAGGTGGGTTGGTGGCAGTGGCTGAGTGTGACAGGGTGGGAAGAGGGATGTGGGAAGGGGGGATACGACGAGGGCAGATGGGGAGTGAAGGTGCTGCTACGTTGGCTGTGGACGGGGAGAGGGATGGAGGCAGGGAGGAGAGGCGGGCAGGGATAGAGGAGCGGGAATGGGAGAATGCGAGTGCGAGTGAGCAGTGGAGAGAGAGAGAGGTGGATAGCAGCACGTGTGCAAGTGAAGAGGGCAGCAGCGGAAGGTGCGAAAGGAAAGGGGGCAGTGGCAGCAACAGGTGCGAGAGAGAAGTAACCAGCAGGAGCAGCAGCAGCAGCAGCAGCATGTGCGAGAGTGTAGGGGGCAGCGGCAGCAGGTGCGTGGTGTGGGTGGAGGTGGAGGCGTGTGGGTCGCTGGTGACAGAGGAGCGCCCCCACACGCTCCTCCCTGCCCTCTGCCACTTCATCTCACAGCTCCGCCCCGCAGCCAGCCACCAATGGAACTGTTACCCGTGTGCAGGGGAGGAAGGTGGGGAGAGGAGTGGCTACGGGAGGGATTGGGCGGTGGGGCGTGTGGAGGACGGGTCGAGTTCGGGATGGGTGGGTGGGTTGGCAGAGGGAAGGGTGCATGTGGGAGGGGAAGAGCAGGGTCAGCGGCAATGGCAGGTTCAAGAGCAGTGGCATAAACTCGTGAACGCACAGCCGCAAGAGCAACAACGGCAGCAGCAGCAACAGCAGCAGCAAGCTGTTGTACAGCCATTGTCAACATCAAGTCATCGCAGCTACCGTGATTCGGCCTTCTGCATCCCGCTCTTTCGACCTACCTCGTCTCAGCAACAGCAGCACCACCAGCAGTACCAGCAGCAGCAACACCAGCAGCAGCAGTCCCTCTCCTGCTCACTCCCGTCCCCTACTCTCTCCCACCCCCTCAAGTCACCATCCGTCGCAGGTTCCCACCTCCCTTCTCCCTCCTCCATCCCGCCTCTCATCTCCCCTTCCTCCTCATCACCCTCCACCTCCACCCCCTCGCGTACGACTCTGTCCCTCTGCACGCCCTTCTGGACTCCTGCGTGCACCCCAGCTGCTTTGTCGCCTGCCTTTACACCTGCTGCTGTGTCACCTGTGTGCACTCCTGCTCCTGCGCCCAGCCTCCCACCCATGGCGCACCACAGCAGCAGCAGGAGCAACTGCATGCCAGCAACAGCTGGGGCGGTTGTGAGGGGCTTTGGGCAGCAGGCGTGTGAGAGGGAGTGTGAGGTGAATGTATCGCAGGTGCGGCAGCGGGAGTTGGAGCGAGGGAGGGATTGGGAGAGGGGGAAAGAGCAGATGTATCTGGAGGTGGAGAGGAGGACGCTGCAGCCGGTGCGCACGAGTGGCGAGGGAAGGAGGTTTGGGGAGGAGGAGGCACAGTGGGCGGGGTTTGAACAAGTGTGTGGGTCGCCCACAAGCTGATTGGAACTGCTCTGTGGAACTAGCCGGGCCTGGGAATTCTCACTAACTAAATGGTAGGAGGAGGAGGCGGCACAGCGGATGGGGTTTGAAGAAGCGTGTGGGTCGCCCAGAAGCTGATAGCAACTGCATAAGTGGCCGCATTGGTGTACATGGTGGAGTGCGAGCCTGCTATGCATATTCTTTCCAATAAAGGAATAATAAAGATGAGGCGCACACGAGTGCTCTCTCAGGTGTAAGCCTGCTGTGGATAGTCTAGGAGAGCACCCACTCAGCTCAGGTGCATGAATGCTCTCATCAACGTGAGAGCTCCAACGGACTTTGCATGTCTCATTGGCCAATAAGATATATGTATACCATATTTAATGCCCTCCGCACAGCAGACTCTTTATACCGGTATTCCTAGAATGCATGTTACATTGCAGTCTATCTAAATATATTTACTACTGTAATTTCCATTTCATGTCCAAAAAATCATGCTTTGTAACAAAAAGGATCACTAGACAACTTGGACACTCCCCATGAAAGAAAACATCTGTTATAATAACCCACAAGCACATACCGCATCAGCAACACTATAATACATACAGTGGGGGGGGGGGGGGGAATGAAATAATATTTGAGATCAAGCCATGAGTGCAAGTCACCATTTCCCTGGTGACCTCCCATTCAATCAAACCACCATTCAGCTGCCTCAGAGGCAACCCCCATAAGGGAGAACACCACACCACAATGTCAACCAACTGCGAAACCCAGTCCCAGCACCAGATTTCAGTATACGAATCAGTATACCGAACCTTGCCACACCCAACCTCACCCTACCGAACCTGACGATGTCATGGCTCAGTACGGCTGTACTCCAATAACCGACGACACAACGTGACCATCAGCGTCGCTCCACGTCATCCTTCCAAACGAGTAGTCCGACGATTTGTTGACAGGGGTGATCGTGATGGTAATCGATTGCGTGCCCTTATTGGGCAGCGTGAAGGTGGTGGGTCGCACCACCACTTTCACATTGGCTGGCAGCTCAAGGGTGAGAGTGTACTTGCTGCGCTTCCCGCTCACGTTCACCACGCGCCGAACCACAGTGACTGTTTTCTTCAGCTGCGAAACGACAATGTTCGGAAGGTTAAGCTGGTACGCGGCGATTGGCGGTGGCGCCTGAATTTTGACTGCCGACGTGGATTTGGCAGACTTGGGAGTTGGCTTTGGTGCAGGTTTTGTCGACAAGATGCTCAGGCTCTGCGCGCGCGCCTCCTTGCTGTTGACCCCATATAAGAACGCAATGTACTCGTTATAAGTGATGTCGAAAATCAGCCCCGGGTCGATAGCTGCTGACGGGTTGATCTGCCCGGAGCCGAAATTAAACGGCGTCGCTTGACTCCCATCCTGGTTCCGAATGGGGCTCCCGATATTATTCTGTTGCGAAGCCGACGTCTGGATTGCAGATTTGATTGCCGCGGGGCTGAGAGTCGGGTTCTTCTGCATGACAAGCGCAGCAACGCCAGCGACAATCGGAGTAGCCATGGAGGTTCCAGTGAGAATGCCGAATGAGACCTCGCCTTGCGGTGACGGTGCGGCAGCGAAAAGCATGACGCCCGGAGCGACGATGTCGGGCTTGAGAATGTCGTTTGTGAAGTTGGAGAGGCCGGCAGGCTGCAGCGGGTTGACAAGGGGGCCCGAGGAGGAAATGGTTGCCACCTTGGGGGCCTCGTCGCTGGTGTCCCAGAAGAGCGGGGAGAGCGTACCGATGGTTCTGAGGAAACGAATGGGGAGTGTCAGGGAGGGGAGGAAAAAGGGTTAGACAGACATACATGGGGTGGCAGTTTGCCCTGAAGAGCTGCGTGCTAGTGTAAGGCATCCATGCAGGTCAGGAGACAAGAGTGATATGATAAGAGTTGGCGGATTCCGAATCATCTATGGGCGCATGAGCGCGGTGCAATCAGCATGGCAGCTCGTAAAAGAAACAGGGCCGGAAAGATTTCCAGCCGTACGCCCCGTGTGCACTCACACAGAGTATGCGTGCACTGGCCTTGATGAGCTGGCGGATGCTGAAGGCATCGGTGTACGTCATGGAGATGGCAGGATCCCCAGAGGGGGACGACGGTGCCAGCAGCATGACACACTGAAAGGAAACCCAGCAATGCACAACCCGTGTGTACTCACGCAGAGGGCGCGTTGGCCTTGATGAGCTGGCGGATGCTGAAGGCATCGGTGTAGGTCATGGAGACGGCAGGGAAGTCAAAGTTGATCGTCTCGGTAGTTGCAGACGGGGACGACGGCGCCAGCAGCATGGCTGCTCCACCTGAAGCCGCCACCAAGGATGCCTTTTCGTCTGCTGAGCTGCCTCCGGATACACACAGCACCATCTTTCCCTGCACCAGCCAGCTTGCTAGCGATCCTGAAATGCACTGCTCCGCCTGTTGGGGTGGAAAGGAGAGTGGTGGGGGGAGGGAAAGGGGGGGAACTTCTGAGTCGACTAAAAAGACGCCGCCACGACGGACACCTTGACGTCTGCTGAGTTGCCTCCCGACACGCACAGCACCATCGTGCCCTGCACCGGCCAGCTTGGCAGTGACCTTGAGATGCATTGCTGCGCCTGGCGGGTGGCAAGGAGAGGGACGTGGGAGCTAAATCTGAGTCCTTTCTGAGAATGCTCAGAACAGCACCACCGTACCCTGCATCAGCCAGCTTGCTAGTGATCCTGGAGAACATTGCTCCGCCTGGTAGGGTGGACGGAGAGGGGAGACGGGAGGGCACGGGTGTGTGGAGAGAAGGATGTGTGAGTGAGGGAGGGTCGGTTGTGATCGGGCAGGGGAGTGAGGTAAAGGGATGCCACTGGGCAAAGTATTACATGAGAAGAAATGTAGGCCAGGATGCAAGGTGTGGCTTCTACATAAACACTGAGTCAGGTGATGGCAGTGCAGGAGAAGACAGGCAGAGATACACGCAAAAGTCACTTCGCTATCTCTCGCCCCGGGCCTCTTCACATCCACGCCCAGCATCATCTCCTTGTTCTTCGTTCACAATGCAAGAACAGAGCTAGTCAGTGAAAGTGAAGGAGAAGGCAGGCGGAGACACACAGACTCACTTCGCTATCTCTCGCCCCGGGCCTCTTCACATCCACGCCCAGAACGATCTCCTTGTTCTTCGTGCTGTCATCGCCGCCCCGCCACGACCCGCCGTCCACATACAGGCTCTTCTTGGCGAAGGTGAGGCGGGCAAGGGGCGGGAACGTTCGGCTGATAGTGCTGGCGCCGACGGTGAGGGTGAAGGGCGAGACGGAGATGAGGGCGGGAGTGAGCGAGTAGGGCGGCGGAATGCCGTTGTTGCCCGCTGCTTGCACCACAAACACACCCGCCTGGTGGCATAAGAGGCGCAGAAGGGAGGGAAGGGGAGGGGAAGGGAAGGGAGGAAAGGGGAGGGAAGGGGAGGGAGGAGAAGGGGAGGGAAGGGGAGGGAGGAGAAGGGAGGAGAACGGGGGGGATAAGGGAGGGGAGGTGAGGGTTGAGGGCAAGCAGAGACGAGAAGAGTGGAGAGTGTGGCTGCTTTGAGGAATGGCAGAACGATGGGGGGGGTGGCAGCAGATGTTGGCAGCAGTCAGCAGTGCCACTTTATCAGCATACGAATCAGGGTGTCTACACCCGCAAGATGCATGGTTATAAGAAGGTGATTTACCCTGGCAGCATTGAGCAGCGGCACTTCATCAAAGTAAGAATCAGGAAGCGCGCCGATGGAGAGGCTCAGGATATCCACACCGTCCGCCACAGCGCGATCAACGGCTGCGAGCACGTCGGCCCACGAGCCAATGGCGCCGTTGGGGGTGTTCCAGAGTGCCTTGTACATCGCCAGGCGTGCGCGCGGCGCCGCACCCGTCGCGTTGCCCAATGACTGGCTGCCACGCATGATGGGGATGTTCCTGTTGCCCGCTGCGGCTCTGTTACAAGGGAGAGAGGAGCAGGGAGAGGAGCGGAAAAGTTGAAGGTAAGGGGGTTGGACTCGGATGCAATTTGACATAAGAACATGAATAGAGGAAACCGAAAAAACAAAAACAAACAAGCGAACAAGGGGGTTGTGGAGAGGGGTGAGGGGAAGGAGGTGCGGGAGAGGAGGGAAAGTTGGAAACCAAGTACTTATAAACAAGGGCGACTAAGCAAGTTGGAAACGAGCGGGGCGGTGCGAGGGGAAACTCACCCTGCACACCAGGTGCCGTGGCCAGTACCGTCGCGAGGTGACTGGAACTCGTTCATCCAATCAATTTGCGAATTCACGTCTGTTGGGTCTTGTTCGCTCAGCAGCCCGTCGACATACCACTGCGCACCGATGAGCTTCGAATTGCACGGCGGAAAATCGTCCGTCGCATTGCACCCGCCCTTCCACGTCTTTGGTGGCGCTCCGTAAGGATTCACGGGATCCTGAGGAACATATAAACAAACAAACAAACAAACATCAGGCGTGGCAATATGGAATAGGGGCACTTGCCGGGAACAGGTAGGCAATGAGCTGAGTGACAGCCAGAGAAGCGGCTGGAGAAACGCAAGGGATATAGAAGCCAACCAACTGTATCAGACTAGCTCGAGAACTCGGCTGACGAATCTGAGGCACAGGATTCAAGGAATGACTTTAGAGGACAAGGCGTACGTCATTGCAATAATAATTCCTACGTCAGCACGAAAATGGTGCTTACGTCAGCAAACGAGGGATGCTCCGGCCAGATGCCCGTGTCAACGATGCCGATGACGATCCCCTCGCCAGCGTGCTCCGGGCCGCCGACGAATGGCCACGTGCCACCTGGCATGTTGAGGAAATCCATGGCGCTGCTCGTGAACCCCGTCACTAAGCCGGGCCGCCGAATGTCCTCCACCGTCGGATCGCTCTGCAGGCGCTCGACCTCGGACGGCGATAGGCGCGCGGTGAACGAGTTGGTGACGTACGTGTAGCTGTTGGCGCGGCACGCGCGGCACGGATCAAGGGGAGGGGGAGAGTTGGAGAAGGGGGGG